ATCCATAAAATTCGTCGTCTTCGTTATCAAAACTCTGATACTCATTTTCAATACTACTATCATCGTCGTTAAATAATACGTCATCTTCCGTTCCATTGAGAGCATTGTTAATGCCACACTTTTTAAAAGATTTCACAACAATTTCTGGTCTAATATTATCCCAAGATTGCTTCACCCATTCGCAGACTTGTGCAATAGTGGGTCTATTTATTCTTTCTGTAAGTATAAGGTCGTGATCAGGTATTGCCATCCACGTGTTCCATTGCTACTTCATGTTTAAGTCTAAGGAGTTACCAGGTAGCTAATTTCGGCCGACTATCGCGAATTTTAAACCTACATATTGCATATAAGACGCAGGGGAATTTTAAAACATAGTTTTAGTAAAAAAAATGTTCGACTTATATGCCGTCAAATACTGTACTAAAATATACGACCATGTTTTCTTTTAATAAATTTTCGTATGATTAAATTTTATTGTCTGTCCCCACTTTACGCCTGTATAAAAGAAAAAAAAAACAACCAGCCTCGTTAACACATAGGCAGTAACTTAAGCATTAGCCTTGTTGTTACTAGATTTTGGTTCGTCGTTTGAAGTTGAAAATGTGACATGTGTTGACGAACAAAAACAAAAAATAATGAATTGGTTGAGAAAATAAACAAACAGGAGAGCAAAACAAAACGGGATATAATTTTTCATTATAACATATTTTTCATTATATTCTGAATTATATACATTATATCGGGAACGTTTTTGTGTAGAGAACAGTTCCCAAAAGAACGTGCAAAATTCAAAGAACATTGCATTTGTTTCCTTTTTAAGAGAGTCCCTTTAAAAAAAATTATGCTGTCAACGAATACACGTCACTTTCGACTTTTTCATTGTAGTAGAGACTTTGCAATCGCAGATACAACAATAGTACACCGTTGAATAATACTGGTGTCAGACACCTTCGAATAGCATTTACACTAATAGCACTTCCTCGATAATACTCGCTCTAATAGTAACCACCGTATTGATCAGAATAGAGAATAGTGTAAAGAGAGTAGAGAATAGCGATCTGTATAGTAATAGTGGGTAGACTAGAAATGGAGATTAGAAAATAAAGGATAGACTAGAAATAGAGATCCGAATAGTAATAGAGGATAGACTAGAAATGGTGATCCGAATAGTAATAGAGGATAGACTAGAAATGGTGATCCGAATAGTAATAGAGGATAGACTAGAAATGGAGATCCGAATAGTAATAGAGGATAGACTAGAAATGAAGATCCGAATAGTAATAGGGGATAGACTAGAAATGGAGGTCCGAATAGTAATAGAGGATAGACTAGAAATGGAGATCCGAATAGTAATAGGGGATAGACTAGAAATGGAGATCCGAATAGTAATAGAGGATAGACTAGAAATGGAGATCCGAATAGTAATAGAGGATAGACTAGAAATGGAGATCCGAATAGTAATAGGGGATAGACTAGAAATGGAGGTCCGAATAGTAATAGAGGATAGACTAGAAATGGAGATCCGAATAGTAATAGGGGATAGACTAGAAATGGAGGTCCGAATAGTAATAGAGGATAGACTAGAAATGGAGATCCGAATAGTAATAGGGGATAGACTAGAAATGGAGATCCGAATAGTAATAGAGGATAGACTAGAAATGGAGATCCGAATAGTAATAGAGGATAGACTAGAAATGGAGATCCGAATAGTAATAGGGGATAGACTAGAAATGGAGGTCCGAATAGTAATAGGGGATAGACTAGAAATGGAGATCCGAATAGTAATAGAGGATAGACTAGAAATGGAGATCCGAATAGTAATAGAGGATAGACTAGAAATGGTGATCCGAATAGTAATAGAGGATAGACTAGAAATGGAGATCCGAATAGTAATAGGGGATAGACTAGAAATAGAGGTCCGAATAGTAATACAGGATAGAATAGAAATGGAGATCCGAATAGTAATAGAGGATAGACTAGAAATGGAGATCCGAATAGTAATAGAGGATAGACTAAAAATAGTGATCAGAATAGTAATAAAGGATAGACTAGATTAGAGATCAATCTAAACGTCATGCGACTTTCTACTTATGCGTATCGTCTATGGTCACGTTATCCACATAATTTAATAATGCGTCTATGGTCACGTGATCCACATAATTCAATAATGGGTCTATGGTCACGTGATCCACAAATTTCAATAATGCCTGAGTTTGCTCACTAGCGATTTATGTTCATACTCAAGTGTCGTCAGCGACACTTTATTCCTATATAACAAAAATGAAGTAAAACTTGAACTTCCTCTGGTGCTGAGTTAAATAGTGACATTATGTGCGTCTATTAATGGTGCGCTAATTTTAGTTTACCACCTCAGCATCGGCAGGAAGTGATGAGAAAGCTACTCATAGGATTCACACCACGCATGCTGCCACTTTTTTTTACGCCAGCCCAAAACCTGAAAAAGGGGTTGCTACTGCTGACAGGGTTTTCAACAGACGTGTACATCGCGAAAAAGCAATTAATTTGCATAATAATTTTGAAAACATATTTTAATAAATATTACATCTGAACTACTTTTTTATTCAGTTTTTTTATAATTACTGCATATAAGCATTATGTCAATAAAGTTTATTTTTAAATCTTGTTTTTATTTGCACTGGAAAAATTCAGACGTAAGTTATCAGTATGTTTACATTAGTTATGATCGTATTTCCTATAGCGTTCGTTGTAACCATTTTTGTCGTCTGCCATTACAAATTAGCCGAAAGGAGCCGGGAAATAAGTTTATTATTTGAATAAGTCAAAATAATTTTTTAATCAATTTTCATATAATTGTTTTAATTTATATAAAGAAGTGTTTGGATGATGGTTGATGGTTGATTTCATTTACTATCATATCAACCTCTATGGGTTATTTAATGTCGAAATCTAAATATTTTAAACGCAATTGTAAGTCTTCAACTACAGAAAAATGTATTGTTTATTACTTTACTTTAAATATGTATCATTGGTCATTTTGATATGAATATCTATTGTTGGTTATTTTACTAATAAATATGTAGCGTTGGTATTTTTTCTATAAAAAATGTATTTCTGTACTTTCATAGTGTTTTGTTTGAGTGTTCATTATTTGCCCAAAGCTGGGACCCTTACGGGTGCTACCACCCCGGTTAAGGGTAGGCCTGAGAACAACAACAATTAAGAAGTGGTTCCACGATCCTCAAAACTTCCAACCTCCCGATGGACTTGTTCTCGCTTAAAGCGTTTCTTCCTCGTGAGTTGCTGAATACCAATTCTACGGACAGAGAAAAGTAAATTGTCATAGAAATGTGTTTACCTCTATTAAATTTCTGAATAAACAACGTTTTTATCTAGACATTTTATAAAGTTATTTTCATCATTATGATATGCCCAATTGACTTCTCTACTTTCGACATAGTTATATACAGGGTGCTCCTTGCCGCTGGATGTAGTTTATCGTCATACACAGGATTATCAAAGAAGTGAGAAAAAAAATAGTAAGTTTTCTGAATAAACTAATAATAATAATAATAATAATAATAATAATAATAATAATAATAATACAAATATGATGAAATTATTCAAATATTTATCTCAAGTCCAATTCTAAAGGGTGTTCGGGAAGTCACTATGCACTTGTTTTTATTAACAGACATGTTTCAATATACTGGGTTGGTGCATAATTATCAGGCGTTTTTGTAGGCGAGTTATTTGTTAATAAATCTTACTGTTTTGTTTACTTTTTTAATAAAAATATTTTCAGCTTTTAAAAATGCATGTCAGTAATCATACGTCCCAGAATAATCATTTAAAAATGTTATCGTTGATCTGTTATACTTCTTTTTTTCATAATAAATATTGTTTAAAAAACGACTGATAATTATGCACCAACCCAACAGAATACAGGCGAAGAATATCAATGACAGTTATAAACAATGTTGAAAGTGACGCCCGTTAGCATCAATACAGGCTTGGATCTTTCTTCTTTTTTTTTGTTTCCAAAACATCGCTATCAGTTGCTTCTTGGAATAGACTGAATGAACGGCCATGTTAAAAATTCCAAGGCCTATATCTTGCATTAACTTCCGTTATGATTTTCGTGGGCTCTGCTGCATAATGTCAGAAATGTTAAATAGTTTATCCTCCGATAGTTTTGCCGGGCTTCCACAACGTTTAACATCGTCCACTGTTTCACTCAAATTTATCAACAAGGTTACGAAATGCATTAAGAAACGAATTTATCTGAAAGCATATCAGCAACACGCCGTCGCAACAAATCTGTGTAATTCGCACCTTCTCAAAATACATTCTTCAGTTCTTAAAATATATTGGGGTGAAATCTGAAATATGCAAAATATATTTAGAAAAGAGCACAGTAACTTTCTGAACAGTGTATAAAGCTACGTCGAAAGTAGAAAAGTCAAGTGGACATAACATAATGATAAAAATAACTTGTCTTGATAAAAATGTTGTTTATTCAGAAATTTAATAGAGGTAAACACATTTCTATGACAATTTATTTTCTCTGTCCGTAGAATTGGTATTCGGCTGCTTACGAGGAATAAATGCTTTAAGCGAGAACAAGTCTACATGGAATGAACGGTATTAAGACATTTATAAAACTGAACTGAGTCTGGTACAAAGTAACACCATTGGAAGAATCCGACTAGTTTTGAATTCACCACAGGTGTCCTATCCTTTCGCGAAATGTTACGAGGGTTTATTTATCATTTTTTTCATTCCTTTTTTTTTTTAATTATATATTTATATCATTTTTCTCTTTGTAAGCGGGGACAGAGGAAAACAGAGCGTAACATATTTGAGGAACTTGAGTAAAAGGATGGTAGAGCTGGGTTTGAGAGTAATAACAAAAAGAAAGAAACTTAATAAGAGCTACAAGATACAGGAAGATGTGGAGGGCTGTGATCACCTAACGTCTTGAAGGGACATCTCACATAAATGAAGATCTATTTTAAACCATGTTTTCCTTGCTTGCTCGCTTTCTTTCTTCCTTTTCCATCGTGCAATCTCACCTTTCCTTTTCGTCTCTCTATCATACACTTTTCTTCTCTCTAATCTCTCCTGTAGTTCTCTATCGTACATTTCTTTCTTTCTTTCTTTCTTTCTTTCTTTCTTTCTTTCTTTCTTTCTTTCTTTCTTCTCCATCATATACTCTCATCTATGCTTTTCTTACCATTCATTCATTGACTTCTCTCTCCTATCTCCTGTACTTCACCTTAGACTTTTTCTTTCTTCTTCTTCAACTTCTTCCTTTCTTTCTTCTCCATCGTATACTATCATCTTTCTTGTTTTATGATTCATTGATTAACTTCTCTCTCCTATCTCCTGTACTTCTCCATCTTATACTTTCTTTATATCTTTCTTTCTTTCTTCCTTTCTTTTTCTCTTCCTTTCTTTCTTCCTTTCTTTCTTCCTTTCTTCCTTTCTTTCTTCCTTTCTTCTCCATCGTATACTCTCATCTTTTCTTTTTATCATTCATTCATTGACTTCCCTATCCTATCTCCTGTACTTCACCTTACACTTTCTTTCTTTCGATATATCTTTCTTCCTTTCTTTCTTCCTTTCTTTCTTCCTTCCTTTCTCTCTTCCTTTCTTTCTTCCTTTCTTTCTTCTTTCCTTTTTTCTTCCTTTTTTCTCCATCTTTCTCTTCATCTTTCCTTTTTATCATTCATTCATTGACTTTCTATCCTTCTCCTCTACTTCACCTTACACTTTCTTTCTTTCGTTATATCTTTCTTTCTTTCTTTCTTCCTTTATTTCTCTCTTCCTTTTTTTTCTTCCTTTCTTTCTTCCTTTCTTCTCCATCATTTACTTTCATCTTTTCTTTTTTTCATTCATTCATTGACTTCCCTTTCCTATCTCCTGTACTTTTCCTTACACTTTCTTTCTTTCTTTATTTTTTTTTTCTTCCTTTTTTTTCTTTCCTTTCTTTCTCTCTTCCTTTCTTTCTCTCTTCCTTTCTTTCTTTCTTTCTTTCTTTTCTTCCTTTCTTCTCCATCGTATACTCTCTCATCTTTTTTTTTTATCATTCATTCATTGACTTTCCTTTCCTTTCTTCCTGTACTTCACCTTACACTTTCTTTCTTTTCGTTATATCTTCTTTTCTTTCTTTCTTTCTTTCTTTCTTTCTTTCTTTCTTTCTTTCTTTCTTTTCTTTCTTTCTTTTTTTTCTTTCTTTTTCATCGTCTCGTACTTTCATCTTTTCTTTTTTTTTTCATTCATTCATTTTCTTCCCTATCCTATCTCCTGTTCTTCACCTTTCTTTCTTTCTTTCTTTCGTTATTTCTTTCTTCCTTTCTTTCTTCCTTTCTTTTTCTTCCTTTCTTTCTTTTCTTCCTTTCTTTCTTTTTCTTTTGTTTCTTTTCCTTTCTTCTCCATCGTATTTCTCTCATCTTTTCTTTTTTCATTCATTTCATTGACTTTTTTATCCTATCTCCTGTACTTTTTTTCTTTTTATTTTTTCTTTCGATATATCTTTCTTCCTTTCTTTCTTCCTTTCTTTCTTCCTTTCTTTCTTTCTTTCTTTCTTTCTTTTTTTTTTTCCATCGTATACTCTCATCTTTTTTCTTTTTTTTCATTCATTCATTGACTTTATATCCTATCTCCTGTACTTCACCTTACACCCTTTCTTTCTTTCGATATATCTTTTTCTTCCTTTCTTTCTTTTCTTTCTTTCTCTCTTCCTTTCTTTCTTTCTTTCTTTCTTCCTTTCTTTTCCATCGTATACTTTCATCTTTTCTTTTTTATCATTCATTCATTTCTTTCCCTATCCTGTCTCCTTTCTTTTCACCTTTCTTTTCTTTCTTTCTTTCGATATATCTTTCTTCCTTTCTTTCTTCCTTTCTTTCTTCCTTTCTTTCTCTCTTCCTTTCTTTCTTCCTTTCTTTCTTCCTTTCTTCTCCATCGTATACTCTCATCTTTTCTTTTTATCATTCATTCATTGACTTCCCTATCCTATCTCCTGTACTTCACCTTACACTTTCTTTCTTTCGATATATCTTTCTTCCTTTCTTTCTTTTCCATCGGAGGGGGACTCCAAGAGAAGATAGTAAAGGAAAGCAAAATAAAGAAGTTAGCTTCACTTTTAAACGTATGGTTGTCAGCAAAAGAAATACTCCAAGATGTGAACTATGAATTGAAGATGTCAAAATCAAACGAGTACAAATATTTAAATATCTGGCAAGGTTTTTTCTTAAATAGAAAACAGAAAACATAACATCTAAATCCGAAGGCGTATTGGAATAACGATAGACGCCTTCCAAGAATCAAGAAACAGAAAAATTTAGCTAGAAAAAAAGAAAAGAAACTAGTTCTGAACTACTATTTATATCAATCCTTTTATATGACAGTGAACGCAGAACAATTTCCCTACAGATGAAATGAAGACTTGTGGCAAGAGAAATTTAGTTCTGCAGAAAGATGCTGAGAATACCATGGTTGGGTCATGTGAGCAACAAGGAAGTTTTAAGGAAAATAGAACACCTTTTAGCCTTAGATAATTGAAATGACACGTAATGAGGAAAGAAAGCTCGGAAAATATGGCACTCAGAAGATATATCGAAAGCGAGTGTGACTGAGGGAAACAGTGAGTGATCTACCTAACCAGATTTGTAAAGGGACAGCAGAACTGGAAATGTGGGGTATAGTGAAGAAACGAACATGGCCAAGAGCTATAAAGAATAGGAAGTTGTGGAGACCCACGATCAGCAACGCCCTGAAGCAGCAGGACACTCAGAAGAACTATTTATAGATAAGCGTCGCAAAAGATACAAGGATGCTCTGACAATCAAAGGTTGTTCATTGCAAAAGAAACCTTTGTTTCGATTTACCCGATCCACGTTTATCTGTTATAAAAATATACTCAGATATCTTTCAACAAATAAAAGGACAGAATGTATAGCGACATCCCAAGTAGGTAAGAGAATATTAAATGAAGTATACGACAGTGGTGAAATACCGGTACACCTTGGTAGATCTATCATCATAGTGCTGCCAGCTACGAATGAATGCGAGCTCTATCAGCTTAATGAATTTCATAAAAACGTTTATCATTTGGTGAATCGAGCGGGTAGTATTATTAAACCGTAAATAGGATAGTAATATTTTGGTTTCATTAAATACACTGGAACAAGAAATGCAACATTTATGATCGGTGTTATATAGGAATAACGTGTCGCTGTCGACATTTGAGTTTGAACATAGATCACTAGTGAGCAAACAGAGGCAATCCCATTATTGAAATAAGTAGACCGCGTAACGTAATTTGGATCGCTATTTCTACTCTATCCACCATTGCTATACGAATTGCTGTTCTGTACTCTATTCGCTGTACTATTTCACTATACGGGTTACTTGTCGAGCGGGTATTATCGAGCAAGTACTATTAGTGCGAGTGATATTCGAAGGCGTCTGTCATCAGCATTGTTCAACGCCGTTACTATAGTTGTATATGCGATTACAAAGTCTCTACTACAACGAGCATTATGAAAGTGACAACCAATATTCCTTGGCATTACAAATGTGGCAATGAGTGTTCGTTGACATTACAAAAATCAAAATGATATAAGAGCAAGCAATAAAATATTTAATAGATTACACAAACCAATTAGATAAGGCACGACACAAAGATCTACTTGAACTGCTAGGGAAACTTGAATTAGTTGGAACAGATATTGGAATAATCGAGAATATTTATTGCAAAAAAAAAACGTCTGCATACAGACAGAATGATTTTCCAGACACGAGTCCTAATATTTAACCCATAGTTGGGGAGAAGAGACGGAGGTGTGTATTTGTAAGCGAATGCAACGAAGCAAATTGGAGTTCGAACTCGACTCGATTTCGCATTTCAAGACGCCATCCATCACACCACCAGTAAATCCTAAAGAAACGGGAAAATTTCATTAGAAACAAAGACAAGTGTGTTGAACTGCTATCAATATGGTGGTGAATGCTGGACAATTTCTCACAGATAGAGAAAAATTGAGGCAACAGAGGTGTGGTTCTTCGAATGAATACCATGGTCGGAGCATCTGAGCAACGAGCAAGTTTTAAGACAAATGAGTACGAAAATTACATTTGTTCTTCCAAGCAGAAACAGACAGTTGAAAAATCTAGGTCGCATAATGAGGAAAGAGGGCTGGGAGAATTTGATACTCATAAGAAACAGTGAAATAATCGGAACATAGGGAAACTGAGTAATGTATCTGAGGAATTTGTGTAAGTGGAAAGCAGAACAGGCACTGTGAGAGTTAGTAAGGAAACAAGATTTATTTGCAGCTATAAATGATAGGAACTTTGGTAGAGTTCTGATCATCGACTTCCGGAAGCGACGCCGCAGACACACACAGAAAAAGAAGATGCTTATGTGGCGTGACAGGGAACTTAGGCAGAATACACTCGAGTATTGGTGATTATAATTATGGAAAACGCAATCAGAAAGACAGCTTCCTGGGATTTAATATTGACATTAATGAATGTCAAGCGGATCCAGTCAACATTGGGGCAATTTCAGCAACTATCCCCACTATGAAATCTATTTAAGTTACAGATATATATATATATATATATATATATATATATATATATATATATGTACATACACTGAGAGTTACTATATTGCCCCAGTGTTTACAGGATCCGCTTGACATTCATTAATTTCAATATTAAATCCAGTAGCTATTATAACTCTTTCTATTTGGAAGCTGTCTTTCTGAACACGTTATATATATATATTATAAAAGCTGTCTATAATTATATATATATAAATAAAAGCTGTCTTTCTGAACGTTTTCTATATATCTATATATATATATATATACACACACACTTTCATAAAAAACATTATTTTTTTAATTTGTAACTTTTAGTTGTTTTATATATATATATATATATATATATATATATATATATATATATATATATATATATATATATATATATACGTAAAACATAAAATGTCTTAAAATATATATATCACTCACACTTTTTTACCCTCCTCATATTCCGCTAATTTTTTCTAAGAAATGTAAACTACCAGCATCGCATTTACACACTTTTGTGCAACTTTTTTATACAATACATAGCAGCGAAACTCCCATGAGCCGTTTGTTTACTTCCGGCAACATAGATCCCGTGCCTGACGAACTGGGAACACAACACAGCGTACAGTCGTACGCCAAAAACGTAGAAACCCGAATATGTACTAATTAATATCTTTGCCCTGTATAACCACATTGAGCATTATTATGTTTACATTTCTTGCATAAATTTAATGATTTTTTTATTTGCTTGCCTGCATATCCACACCAGCACACGCGTACACGCCTGCTTATATTTGGCCGTTTCATTTATCCACTCTACAACTATATATATATATATATATATATAACGTCATCCACAGACAGACTGTTTCGCAGCTCATCAGTGTGGCTAGACATCCGGTTGCTTCTAGCTAGAATCGAAACCAGACTGAATTGGTGTCAGT